ACCCAAGGCTTTTGGATTAATTAGTAATTAACCTCTTTGACCCTGCCAGACACAGCTATGGGTCACTTTTTACAACCTTGTGTCAAGTGGACAAGCTGTGCTCAATTGTCCTTGTTGCATTCTAGTGGAGGTTTCCAACATGTCGGCTCAAAATGAAACAAAAAAGAACTGTATAAAATGAAAAACAAGATATGTCAAATTTTACTGGATGTAACTGTGAAGCCAAATAACTCATTGTGTCTTGGGTTTGAATATTTTGCTGAGTTTAACCCTTTATCACACTGGAACAAGTGAATCCAGAAGATATATCATCAGTGTGGGGAAAATCAAACATAAGGTAAGATCCACAGTTGAAAACCAGCAGGACACTGAATGTAATAATCCACAGCACTTGAATAAAGCATTATGAGTTAGACACTTTGAACTCAACCAGCTTAGGCTGGTCTCATCCATACAGACTGATGTATGAGGGTACAAGCTTTCACTTTACATGATCTGTGGACTATATTCCTTAAATGTGAATGTGGAAATTGGAGCTTGCCAATGACTTTTCTTGTTTAGTTAAATTAATGCAGCTCATGTAAGCAATACATCATAATAGCTATTTTCTAATGCCCATCATAGTGTCTTTTGTAATTTTTAATTCCATGCAGCCATTGGTCTCCATTCTAATATAGTGCAGAAATCAACACACGGAGACTTGAAACTTCTTGTATCTACTTTTGTTGTTGTATTACTCTTCTAGACATGCAGACACATGGTTTTCATTTCAGTGAAATGATTGTCTATTTATAAATTTGGAAGGTCACAAATGCTGCCAGATGCATCTCCTCAGTTGTGAAAGATATGGTGGTTGGTGTTTCAGACAATTACAAACCTAACCCTTTAAAACTCTTCTCTGTGGGATTGCAATGTGATTATACATTATTTGGATGATGTAAATTAGGGTTTGTTAAAACATTAGACAATCATGCTATGAAATGGTGCAGTGTGATGCTTTCAGCCCACTATTCTATACCATATTCACTGGAATGGTGTGATGTGCTGTGCTGTCTGCCACATTTGCTAACTTGTCTTTTTTGATACTGATACTGATAGGAGTCGCCACACACAGAAATGTGTCTTACATTTAAAAAATCTGCCAGTTTGAGGACATTATTTCAACATATCTTGAATCATTTTCTAGAAATGAATGTCAACATGTTGGAACAAGATGTGTTTGATGAAACACTTTGTTTCAATAGAATCAAGAACAATGACACTAGATTCCAGATGATTATGAAGATGATGTATGTTGGTTGGAAACAGGCTGAAATCTTATTCACTTGGCTGATTTTTTCAACATATATTTTAGGGTGCAATTGGCATCTAAGTGACTGTGCATGACTGTTTTAGCCACGCTAGCATGGAGATGGCAATGTTGGTTGGTTGGTTGGTTGGTCCATCATCGTCCAAACTGAGATGTCTTTTTTTATGGCTTGCCATGAAATCTTGTACAGAGATTCATGATGCCCTCAGGATGAGTCCTACTGACTTTGGGAACCCCCGACTTTCCCTCAAGGGCCACCATCAGGTTTCAATTTGTCCAATATGTTGGTTTATCACCAAATACTTGCTAAACTACTGACATTCCCATCAGCCTCAGTTGTACTTTATGTTTACTGCTAGTAGGAAATGCTAGCATGTAAACATAGTAAACTAAGCTGGTATACATTGTAAATATTATACCAGCTTGTTAGCATAGCTACTGTGAGCATGTTAGCATGCTGCATTTAGCCCTGTTTCTAAGTAAAGCCTCACGAAGCTGCTTGTGTACTGTAACTGTAGACTTTTTAGGAGGACTCTGATCATGTTTTGGGAAGTATGGCTGTTTGCTCTCAGAAGAAATAAAGATATCCAATTCTTCCCTAACCATAACCCTGCACATCTACAGAAGGCACTGCAGAATTCTGCCACTGCGGTGAGACTGATTGGAGTATTCTCCTCAGACAGGATGTACAGTATTTGAGGGAGCAGCCACAACCCAGTTCCATCAGTGTTACACACATCAATCATGAATTCCAATAAAGGCCAGAGTGGTTGAAGATTTTGGTCAGAGTTGATCAGATGTAGAAACTTGTGAGCTGTGGAGGCCTTAAACAGGAGGACTCACTTTCACCTTGAGTCCAGCCTCCCCATACACCCTTTCACAGTTCACATGTTTATTGTGTACACAAGCTGACAAAAGACAGCAGCTGTCTAGGTGTGGTTGCTTTCAGAGACCAGGCTGTATCATTAGAGAAATGGCAGGCTTTATCTCACTGGCTGCTCTGTGATTCCAGTCTGATGGTGCATGAGCTCCATCATATAAACAAAGGAAATGAGCATTGTATTCGTGCAAATTACGACCAATGTTGGATCAGCACAAGTAGACAGTACTGATGGTTCTCAGTAATTATTGGAGCTTGCCTTGTCATGTTTAAAGTAGCAGGTATGTGGGATTCATACTATCACTATGACTGCAAGACAGTTTAAACACTCTCATAAAATAACAAAAATCAGTGTAGCTCTAAAAATACAGTATATATATATTTTTTTTTCTTTATTGTAGGTGTTGCACAAACTCTGCTCTGAGCCCTTTGACCAACAAGAAAATACAATGCAGCATAATTTCCTAATAACTGTACCTAAATATTTGCAGTTATTGGGGACTATTTTCAAAGGCAAATCCATATTTAATCCACCATGTTACAAACCGGCACCAAGGAATAAGCAGCAGAGCTGCATCCTGATCTAATGGAATGCCAAGCACACAACAGGGAGTCAAGAAATCATTCAATGTTTTAAAGATGGTCATTGGAATTTTAAAATCAGTATGGAATATATTGGGCATCCAGTGTAGGTTGCCTAGCTGAGGAGTCACATGTTCCTATCCTTTGGCACCAGTTAAAATTTGGGCAGCAGCGTTGTGCTTCAGTTGGAGTTGGTGAAGCGAGCTCTGACTGATACCAGTGGGAAGAAATGTTTGACCATCTTACATCAGTAGACCAGAAGGACATGGAAGCACATATATTGAAAAGCAGGACAACAATAGTGATTTTACTCCTCTTGTCCTTGAGGAGATATTTAAAGGTCAAAACCCGCATATGTGCAAACCCAACCCATCACACATACACACATATATTTACATTCAAACAAACGAACACGGCTCAAGAAACTGAGATGGCAACACATTGCAGAGCGATTTCACGCATGCATGAACACACACATTACACACAGCTAACACAGCCAGACAAGAATGTGAAGGATGTACACGCGTCTGTCGGAATGCGGGTGCTTCTCTTTGTTCCTCTGCTAATCTAATTTGTAACTGTTTTTAAAATGAATTCAGATGAGGCCTTTGCCGTGTTTACAAGGTACAGTTATTTACTAGGTAACACACTATAAATCAAAAGCCTCTTGTTTCCAGCTCAGATTGTAAATTGGGTCATCATATGACCCCTGGCACTGGCAGCAGAAATGCCCTTGGAGCCGGCTTTAGAGAGGGTTATGGGCTTTAGAAGACAGGATATATATACAGGTTTCAACTATGTGTATAGTTGGCAATGCTGTGTAAAAACACGTTTTTCAGTTCTTCAAATTTCATTGAAAGTTAGAGGAAAATTAAAATGTAACGACAGGTTTTCAAGGCATTTTCTGACGTTGACTCTCCGTTAGTTGTCTATAACTAGAACTCTATAACTAGAGCTTATTATCCCTGTGGTGTGAGGAGGGTACACAGGACACCCACCACGTTAGAACTGGGAACAGATACCAGTGAGAGCCGCAGGCATCAGCTGAACGAACTCCATCCTGTTAGTGAAGGGGATGAAGTGATTGTATTGTTTGTGCCGTAATGAGTGTTTTAGAGCAAACGACACAATTGTAGGTTGGTGCACTGTAATCTGCCTTGTTGGCATGCAGTGATTTAACTCCAACAGTCATGCCGAATAACAAGTCTTTGGTGTATGGACATCCATTAGACCTGTTCATATTTTCAAATAGTTTAATTGCTCTCTTCTAACCTGTCAAACCCAAAAATATATAAGCCATCACCTAAAAATACTTTTAACCAACAGTATATATATGACTTTGTTTTATTCAATTCATCAATCACACCAACAAAGGCATCATGCTTTATGTCACCATTCACTTTCTACTGGTAAGGCACTGAAGTCCTAAATCAGGTTTAATCTATGTGTAAAGTCCTGTTAATACGTTTCCATTCCCAGGGGAATGCATTTTACTGACAGACACCAGCTTCACATGAAAAGTCTGACTGGCTTGTTGTTCGTTTCCTCTGCTCTGTGACAGTTTACAAAGCATTGAGATGATGCATGTCCTGGAGGATCTCACGCTGGTGTCATTGTACTTATCTGCACTCACCATTTATGACAAGTGGCGGATGGAATAGAGGGGATGAGGGGTGGGAGTGTGGGGGAGGGATACATATTTACCCTGTGAGAGCTGCTGAGCATTTCTGTCGGGGCCCAACATTTCTTGCAGATGATTCAAATGGATTTATTGAAAGTGATTGTGTATTTTGAGGTGAGGGTGCACATACACAATGCACAAAGAACAGAGGAATCAGGGGAAAAGGAACCCAAGAGCTTATTTTTAAATGCAGTTTTGATCCTGTCTTGGTAGATAGATATGGTTACCTGTTGTTTACCTTTCATATTACAAACACAATATGTATGTACATATGTATGAATGTGTGTATATGTTTGTGTGTATGTTTATACATATGTATGTATGTATGTATATGTATATATATGTGTATTGTGTATGTATGTATGTATATATGTATGTACTCAGCAATATCTGCATAGCTCAGCCTATGTAGTGCTAGATGTCTGCATCTATAGACTTTCTGTCCGTCTTCCTGATGTCAGAGGTACGCACGGCTTTTCCGCTCCCTAATTGGCCGCATCTGCTCCGCCCTCCCACTAGGTAACTTGTTGAGAGCGTCGGGCGGAGTCGAGTGGAACAGTTATATTAAGGTGCCTTCTAGCGGAGCGCTGTGTTCTTCCTCTGCGACAGTTCAGGACCTGGTTGGCACACGAAGGGAGTCTGCAGAAGACTGAGAGCGGGAACACCTTTACTGGAAATAAATCAAAATGCCTTCGAACAAAGACGATGGCGGGTGGAAGAAGTTCGTGTGGGATTCGGAGAAAGGAGAGCTGCTCGGTCGGACTGGAAGCAGTTGGTGTGAGTATGGTGTCTGACTACCCGGGTGGAAGCGCGCGCCCACGATTGTAGGGACGCGCGTCGGTAGCCTCGTGTTTCTCACCACCTGTTTGATTTGACTTTGCTGCATAAAGAAAGAACAAAGCGGTAACACGACTCCTCATTGCGCTACTGTAGGCTAACTAGTATCTCCAGTAAGGTTCACGTGATGTCCACGTCCTCACTTTTGACGTGACCTCAGGAACACAGCCCCCCCAAATGAGTGCGCTTTAGCTGTATTAAATGAGCTCGTGACGGTTAAAAGAGGTCTGTGTGTTTCCGCTCGTTCTCATCGTCAGTCACAGTGCAGAGCGCGGACGCAGCGCTCCGCCGCGCACACGGTGGAAGCTCCGTGTCCACATTGGCTGTTTGTTGTCTTCTACACTTTTGGAATGGGCAGGGAAAGGGTTAAAAATGCATCACGGGCCAAGGTGAGTCAAGGTGATACGGCCTGCTGGGAAATGGACTGAAGAGCATCGATCCGTGTCGGGTGTCTCCGATCAGGTGTCGCTGTAATCTAACGAACAATACAACTGATTAACCCGCTCGACCTTGCCTTGTTTCTCGAGAAGCGCCAGTGCGCATGTCCTTGTTCCTCCTCTCAATGTCACACAACTGTGTGTCCAGCTGAGTCTGTCTGGTCCCCTACACCTGGGAGAGATCCACTCTCTGTGACAAACTGCGTGTTCAGCAGCTCCATCTCATGTTTGTCCTTCTGGGGTCATCTAAAAGTGCTGCTGCATGTGAAGTGTGCCATGCGCAGTGGGGAGAGGAGAGGATGTCCAGGCTGATAAGGAGTAATCTCTGCTGTTTGTACTCATGACTACAGGCTGACTTTGCAGAATATAAGGAGTGGAATGTAAGTTGTCCACTTTGTGAGGCTCATCTATAGCTGAGATGTATATCTATGCTCAGAGGACACTTTGATCCCGCGTCCTTGTATCTAACCAGCTCCAGTGATTGAGGCCGTGTCACCTTTTGACCTTGCCTCATGCAGCAGAAGGGCTAACTGGATGAATGAGTAGCTTGATAACTGCCAGGTTAACTTCAGCTGGGCTTCATTTATTGCTTTGCAGGGCTGACGATAGAGTCGTAACACTGTCTAATTCTACAGTATCTACATGCTAAACACTGATTACAATGAGGAGCCAGCGGTACCATGAAGAAGTACTAGTACTGTAAGAATTCCTGTAAATATGTTCAGACAATGGCTGCAGCTGTTGGACTGTATTCTGAATGCTGGCTTTGTACTTCCTGACATCATGGTGGAGACACACGCTCTGGTAACATGTCTGTGTGTGACACACACAGCTCTATGATGGACTTCATGTTGAAGAGACTGAAAATATATACATACGCTTTAATTTCATGGAATTAGTTGTCTTCTCCCACGCAATATTTCATTCAAACTCTTTAGTCTTCACTTCTTTTAGTTTTCAGCAGAGGGCCTGTTGGCAGCAGACTCTTGGTTGAAGCTGTTCCTGTTTGGCTTGGTTATCCTCTGTTCCTGCATTATCCTAACCTTCTACCTACACCAGCCTTCACCATGGAGGTGTAGCATCCCACATGATGTAGCTGCAGACTGCAGGTGTCTCATGATGGGGGTGGTGTATGCCATTTAGCATAAACTAGTCAGAGCTCAATGGCCAAAAAGCTCAACTGAATTATTGATGGTCTCTCCATGAAACCCTCTGCCACTTTGTCTCAGTCGACAAGCCTTCTGTCAGAGCGGAGATGTCATGTGACGCTTTTCTTTTTAACAGTCTGCCATACAGCTGTGATGGTGAAGCCCATGTAACCGTTTCTGTCCCCCATAGAGCCTTGCATCTGGGTGTTCTCCCTCAGTGCTCGTCACTCGGAGACAGTCTGTAAAATAGTTTTTTTCTGTTCGGGTTAGAATCACGTGTCACACCTAATGCCTTGTTCACACCACTTGAACCCTGATTTTCTGCTCCCAGACAGTTTTGGAGCTCCTGGACAAAAGATCCTTAGATCTCTTAGTCTCTTGGGCCGAGCGACTCACTGGGCGAGCGACTCTTTGGTCGAGTTGCTCTCGAGGCGACTCTTGATGTTGTCCAACTACAACACATGATGGTAAAAGTCCACAGTTGCGTGTGTTATCATGTGTGGTGAAGTTTAGCGGTTACAGAATGAACAGGAGGTCCATGCAGTGTAGAGAACAGATGTACAATAAATTCATATTCAGCTCATAGTTATTAATGGAAGGTATCAGATGGTATGATTATACTGCGTTACTGTTTGATGTTGAGGTTAGTGATTGAAAGCTCACTGAAATTTAACAGCAATCCTGCATCACTGCATGACATCATGTATAACTATTTATTTTTGTATACTACTAGATACTGATGTCAACCTTATGGGCCAGTCGTCCCCTGAAGTCCTTTCCTTGATCTTCTAAGGTTCTATAGTAGCCCTTGCTGTTTTACCTTCTGTCGCGCTCTGTACTGACATTCTTTTTTTCTTTTTTCCTCAACAGTCAAAATTATAGTGTTCTATGTCGTTTTCTATGGCTGCCTGGCTGGAATCTTCATCGGAACCATCCAAGCCTTGCTGCTCACCTTGAGCAACTACAAGCCCACCTGGCAGGACCGAGTGGCCCCTCCTGGTAAGAAGTTGGCACACACTGAGTCTAAGGGAAGAAACACTGAATGAACACACTGCCAGAACAATAGAGTGGTAAAAAGGCTCATGTTGTGATTCTGAAGAGCATCTGGTGACATATTTCCCACATAAAAGCAGTAGCTAATGGCTCTGTGTTGGTCTGAGCTGTGCTCCAGAGGGACTTTCTCAGGATGAATGCATGCGTTGACCTCCAAACAAGGTGGGATGTGGGATGTCCTCTCTGTTGTCAGTGTCCAGTTCACTCCAGTGTATAGAGTTCCTCTCCTGGCGAATACAGCACCTTTAGTGATTGTGTTCACTCAAATAGAAACTCTAAGTCAACCAGCACTGAATAATGCCAATGTTTTATCTAAAGATCAGATATGGGAAATGATGTCATTGTTTCCTTCCTGACAAACTACACACTGACTGTGAAAGACGGGGATGACGACCCTAGATCAGCTGTTCACCAGATCAGATAACCAGTGTTCTTTATCCACACATATGTTTGGTTCATGGGCTCACCTTCCCCTCAGGAAATGTCTGCATATTGTTTTGTAAATGAGCTGTATCTGTGTTCTGTGTACACACCACACCCTGGTTTCCATGGAGGGGATGTCAAACTGTCAAACTGAGCATGTGCGGAATAGTCAACTGTGCAACTGTTAGAGTGCACAGGAGGAAGGAGGCGTGGCCATTAGCGCTGTGCTCATCTGAGGTCGTCCAAACACTGATGTGTCACAAGGGCTCTACTGTCAGTGACCTGATCTCGGGTCAGCTGATTCAAACATACAGTGAATAGATAAAGAGTTCAGATGAGCTCCTTGATGTGTGACATCACTGGGCTGAAGCACAGAGTCACATGACATCTGTGTCATCCGAGATCCATAACTACTGTAGCATCACTGCTGATAACCTGTGTCGTCCCTGCAGGCCTTTCACACACCCCACGCTCAGACAAATCTGAATTGTCCTTCAACCTGAACGACATGGAGACCTACATGCCTTACACCAAGGCCCTGAAGGAATTCATGGCCAAGTACAACGATGAGCTACAGAGGGACCAGATGAAGTACGAGGACTGTGGAGGTACGTATCCTGGCTGGGCTCTAAACGTGCTCGTGGACAGAATGTAACATTGTTGCATCATCACGATTACAAAGTACAGGAAGGTCAGCGAGAATACTGAAGTCCTTTAATGACCCGTCAGCGTTTCAACAGAATCCAGATTCATATCTGAGTCTAAATACATTCTCAACTAAAGGATTTATTTGACTACAAAATAACCTAGATATTGTCAAAGATGGACTGTAATCCTGCACACTAGAGCTTAAACTAATATTCTCAATTCAAATATGTATTTAACTTCAGAAATAAAAGCCTGGACTTCAATTGATTGGAAATGTAACGTTAGTCCAAGCTGGACGAGGAATAGTTCAACAACAGTAATGATGTTCAAACCGAGTTACGTTACATCATGTAGCCAAACGTCAGCTGTGAGCTCCACATCACTCTGGACATTTAAATTGTGATATTTTCTGGAAATTAAGCAGCAAACTTTTTCTGAATAAGTGTTTATTTGTGCAGGCTTAGCATGACTACATACGTCCTTGTCATGCCGTGATTCATTCACCAGCCTGGCTTTATTAGAGCACCCCCCCCATGTACTGAATCCATGATCTACCCCAAGAATCTAAATCATGAGATAGCAAAAGAGCCCCACCCTGAATACTAGTTTCACTTTCAGACACTATTCTTCAGTCCTCATCTAAGGTAACCCCCCCCCCCCCTTTCCAGAGGAGCCTGCAACTTACAAGGACAGGGGCGAGTTGATAAGCGACATCGGCACCAGGAAGGCCTGTCGCTTCTCCAGGAGCCTGCTGGGACCCTGCTCCGGCATCGAGGACAGCGACTTTGGTTTCAAGGAGGGCAAGCCCTGCGTGATAGTGAAGCTCAACCGGATCGTCAGCTTTAGACCAAAGGTAATATGAAATGGAGAAGTGTTTTGCTGGAGAGAAAATGTCCAAATTTGTTAGATTGTTGTTTGCTGCCAGACTGAAAATGTCATTGTTCATATTATTAGTCCACATGATGGTAAAGACATCCAACATGTCCCTTGAGTTGTCCCTGCTGGTGGACTGGTCAATGACATGGTGTGTCTCTGGTCAGGTCCCCTCTAGACGAGGACCACGCTCATGACCTGGTAGCTCATTGACCCCCGTCGGTTACCAGAACCTCATGTTGTACATCGTAGTGCTCCTTCAGAGACTTAAATACTGCTACTAGGATGCTCATTAAAATGTTTTTTCTAGTTAATGCATTCTGTGTGCATCCACACTGATATGAACAGGTGTGTGTCTACTGACCCAGATGCAGATCACATGTTAGTTCCAGGTACAAGTTGGATCTGAATGACAGACAAAGTATTGTCTGGATTTCCACTGAAGCCTTTAGTGCGGTCCAGCTGGTAACTTGTCTTTGTTGTTCAGCCTCCTCCATCTAATGCAAGCGTCCCTGATGAGGCTCAGTCCAAGGTGCAGCCCAACATTATCCCCATCTACTGCACCAACAGGGTACTGCTCTTTGTTTCTGTTTTTCACTTTAGACCTCGGTACAAACGTGTGTGTGTTCTGTGAAACATTTGTGCTTGCTCTGCAGTTTTATTACTCCACACGTGTGTCTCTTTGTCCTCCAGAGAGAGGAGGATGCTGGTAAAATCGGGGAGATTAAGTACTACGGTATCGGTGGCGGCTTCCCCTTGCAGTACTATCCCTATTACGGCAAGCTGCTGCACCCTCACTACCTGCAGCCGCTGGTGGCTCTGCAGTTCACCAACCTCACCCTGAACACTGAACTGCGCATCGAGTGCAAAGTGTTCGGAGAAAACATTGATTACAGCGACAAGGACCGCTACCAGGGACGCTTTGACATCAAGTTATCTATTAACAGTTTATGACCGCCATCAGGACCATAGCACTTCCTGCCCCCTTCCTCCTTAACTAAATACAAATGTAATGTAGGAGAGTATCTGTGGGGGCGGGTTGCAGCGCTTCAGTCAATCACTAATAGTCTTGAATGAATCAATGAAAGAAAATGCCTGATAGGGGACCGATGTGTGATCTTGTCTGCTTTCATCACTAGCTTCTACACTTCTGTCTAGCGTTAGAATGTAATTTAGAGGAATATGCCTAATAAAAATATTTATTCAGCTGTAAATGACTTTTCCACAAGCCATGGGACATTGTTCATCGATGACTGTAAAGTTAAATTCCATCTCTGACGTGTAGCGAGCTGTTTGTCCCTCTGCATATCGCTGCTTTGTGTGCTTTCACTAGATATTTTTGAGTGTGCATTAGTCGCAAAAACTGGTCCTTCAAACCGTGTGTGTGTGTGTGTGTGTGTCTGTGTGTGTGTGTGTGTGTGTGTGTGTGTGTGTGTGTGTGTGTGTGTGTGTGTGTGTGAGAGAGAGAGAGACGCTCCACTTAATGAATTAGTTTAACATGGTACACTCCTCTGTGTAAGGAAAAGGCTGCACTCCAAGGAACTTCTGTCCTCTTTTTATTCATCTTTTATTTGTGATCACTTTTACTTTGTTAAATTGTTTCGATGTGTGACGGGCTTTTCTTACTTAACTTTTGATTTTGACCTTTGGTGTAGAGTTGTGTGTCCAGCCTGTTCCACACTGGCCTGCTGTGTGGGTGATGGTGCTGACTCAAGTTTTTAAGAATTGTTTTGCTGGGTTCATCACAGCATTGTGGTGTAACACTTTGAACGTTTCAGCCATTAAACATGGTGGAAGAATTTTACATTTATGCAGTTGTACATTTTGTTTCTTTGCAGAATATTGTAATGTATCAATGCAATACCAAAGTGACGAGTTAAGAGTATCGGAAGCAATGCAGTACTCGTTTTTAGAATGTCATGTTAAGTGCTAAAGTCGATGTCTAGCATCCTCAGTGGGTAACTCTTGATCTGTGTTTAGGCCATGAATGTAGTTAGCTGTAGAATGAACAGGTAACAGTTTAATTCCACAATGACCTGACTTAATGCATTTCAAAAAGACCAGAGCTCAGTGGCTTTAGATGGTTAATGATGTTGGCTTTAATATTCCTTAGGATTTCATGTTGATGTAAAACACTCTACTTGAACTTTAACATCAGTCGACTCTCCACCATTTCATCCAGCGTTGTCATTTAATCAAAGATGGAAACAAATAAAGTCATAATGGACCTTTCTCTTGTGTGGTCTTCTTCAGTTATATTGTGAAATATACAGTCTGAAACACATCTGATCATAATGTCTTTGTCCAGGACCCTTTTCCCAGCATGCACTGGATGTGGAAGACCAGGTGCAGAGGTATTTATTTCATTGTGCACTACATTTATTGTTTGAGCTCAGTTTGACAGTTAGCCACTATCTAGTGCCTTTAAAATGAAACGGAACCGTTCCTCTCTGCCAACAATCCCAGAATGCAATGCTCTGCCTTTTATGAACCGTTACAGTAATGTTAGTGATGATGCACAATCTGCAAAGCTCAACTACTGACAGTTAATTTGTCAGAAAGAGTTGACCCATCCCGAAAGGACCAGGACTATTTCATTCAAAGCAAATATGGACACATACTTTAAAAAGAGATAAAAGTGGTTTACATTAAGCTCTAAACAAATTGGCAAAACCTTCTATTTAAAAGAAAGTGGCTCTAAACTGCCCCTTTAAACCTTCCACTGGCTGATTGGCTTCATCAGAGGCATTCACTAATACTTTATCATATCATTCATGTTCAAAAACTCCAGTGAAATTGACAAAATGCAATATCGAGCTACAAACACAATTTCAAGAATATAGTTTGTACAAAGGCAACTTGTTTTGACTGTCCCCTAATAGACACAATGAGACCATACAATTATTATAGTGAGACCAGATCTAAGACGGCCATGATCATAGGCATAAGACCCAGATGGGGTCCAGTTAGAGCGATGGTGTCTGCCCGAGGACCTTTAGCTACAACGTGGAGAGTGTCCATCCATTACACACCTAGCTACCTAACATCAACTAGGCGTGGCCAATGTGATAAACAGGATAAAGCTATTGGCTGTCCACGATTATGATCCTCACGTGTCCACGATAACAGAACGATGTTTAATTATGCAACGTCTACCATGAATTGTGTTCTTTTTCTTTCTCTGTGGTTCACCGCATTGCTGTAGCATAACAAAAATAAGTAACAGCATGCTAGAATATGTCTGATTTAGTGTTGTAATATAAATGTAATTTATGGTAGGCCTACTGTCAGATTGCTGCTAGACTGCCCTGTTAATTCATTAATTCAGGTGTGTGCAGGAGAGCAAATTATTTTTTGACCGCAATAAAAATGTGAATTTTGGGAGTGATTTAATCTCACTTTTTTTTCAATAAATTGTGACTTTTGGATTACGGGCTGACATAATTACAGACATGAGAACAACAGCAAGAGGAGTTGCTCGCTGTGTAGGTTTGACAGCAGCAGGAAGGACGTCCACTCTGTCGCCAACAGAATGCAATGCAACTATTTCACAATTCTTTAGTTTTAAACCAAAGTAAGAAGGAGCAGAGAACGTAAGTAATTGGTAAGTGGTGCAATAACCCAGTCATAACTTAAGATGATCACACCACAAATCTCGCTCCATATTTTAAAACTTACCATCCAACAGAATACGCAAGTCTGCCACCAACTCCATCCACAAAGAGCAGTTGGAACAAAAGTCCTCCCACAGTGAGCAATCAGCCCTCAACCAACAGGGCTTTTATAAAGGCAACACAATATAAACCTGACAGTAAACAGTGGCCAGTCTGTGTGAGGGCAGTGACTACCAGCTGACATCAGCATGTGTAAAATAGTTCTTAGTACCTTTACAACCGGGCCCATGTTGGGGCCACTTATCGGTTTTGCAACATACGTGTCTCCAGTCTATAGATATTTATATCTATGTCATTTTTCTCTGTTCACCTTTGTAGGAAGATCATTTCGTATATCGTTGTTTTTCTTAAAGCAATATCAGTAGAGGATCTTTTGTATTGCCCACAATAAAGCTACCACAGGTATCACACTAAAAATAAAAGGTGAACGATGTATTCTTTTAATTAGCAGTAAGAAATCATGAGAACATGTACATTGTTGAACACTCCTGTCATAGCACTGAATAATGAGGCATTTTTCTGAATACTGCTCAATATGAAATCCAAATGATCTGTCCATTTCTATGGAGCCCCCTTCACTGAACCTGCTACAAGTTGAAATGATGTATAATCACTAAGAAACATCAGACACTAAATAATCTATCATAAACACCCAAAAACTCTACTGAATTTACTGGTTAGACGTTTGGAACTGAAGCCCAAAGTAGGCCTGCAACTGAACTGTGGTCAACAAAGCTAGACGGTTCCTTTACAGTGATGTCTCTCACTCACAACCTCTCGTCACAGGTTGTAAGTGAGACAGGGGAGTCTATCCTGTATGTCACAATGAAATTGCACAGATTTCTTGGAATTGTCAGAAATTAAAACAATAATTGTGTGGCAAATACACTCAGTGTAGAGCTGTGATGAAGCGCTACTGTGGTTCCCAACCTTTTTTGCCTTATGTAGCCGAGCCCTTGAGCTGTTTAGCCATGCCAATAGAAGCCCACCCCCTCATTCTATTAAACTCATATTCCACTTTTAGCATCTAAAACAACTGATTACTAAATGAGAATCATTTGAATGACTCCCCTTTAATACAGAGACATTATACTGATTGTGAGTGAAAAACAATAATACCCCACTAGTTGGGTCATTTCCAAAGAGGAGGCTTATTTTTCAGTGGATTTGTCATATCTATGAAGGTTAATAAACAAATTTAGCCTCAATGGTCTTTACAAAAATACGGGTTAACTTGCCCTAAATCCAAGATGGCAACCATGAGCCATATTGGAAATAATCTTGTCAAAGGTTTGGCCTACAATGCTGAACAGTACTTAGGTCATGACTAAAACGGATCCATCTTGTGTAGAACTTCACAAATGCGATGTGGACTTATGTTATATTGTTTGTATTGTTTATATGTCTTCTATGGAGATTCTAACTGGAGACAAAACCTTTTTTCTAAACCATTAAATATAAAATTGGAGCAAAATGCATCATAACTACTGTTATGCATGTAGACACTTCTACATGAATAATGCTTCACAATCTGTTTTCATCTGAAAATCTGTTTTTTTACAAAAAAAAACAATGGTCAAAGATGGTGGCTTGAAGTTGTATGAGAAGTCTGAGGCTCACGCCCCTCTTGGTCCATCCCAGTAGAAAGAGTCGGGATAAGCCCTGTGCTCATGTACCCTATAGGGGGACGCATAACCACTGATGTACAGTATATTAACATCCATGTTAAACAATGGTTTGAGTATCTCTAAAGCTACTTGAAGAAGGAACATTAAAAGATACAAAAGTTGAACAAAGAGCTGGGAATCATCTGTGAGACTCTGATAAAGTGAAGACTCATGCAGCAGCGGTTATATAACTTTGTCTGTCTGATATACTTTAATCCCTCTCCCTCTTCTTGTTTGACCTCAGGAGTGTTACCATTCACTCATTCAGCTCTCAGTGTGCAGACACATGGCTCTATAATTACAGGAGGTAACGGCTTTGTGGATGCTAACAGAGGGATGTTGTTTCAGACACCACCAGAGAGCAAGTATTAAGTCTCCAGGAGCAATGAGGGCCAACAGGAACAGCAGCTGCTTAATAAGCCAGGTTCTTTCTATTACCTCCTTGTGTGTCTCTTATTTCATTTAATTTGTTAGCAGGATAACTCTAAAACAAAATCTTAACTCAATGTCCACTTTTTAGAAAAATTCTGGAGTTTTTAATCTCAGATCAATCTCTTGGTCTTCATCGGCACTTAAAGTTTGAATGAAAACAAACTTCCACATTCAAATTAGGCCATAGCTCAAGAAGTAATTCATTACACTTGACTTTTTTATTGAACTATAATAGACAAAACACATTAAAAATAAAGTTGTTCTCCCCTTCCCTAGTTTGTTTTACTTATCAAGTCAAAATAATCCGTAAATGAAGAAATAAAGTGTGTACAGCTGGGAATGTAGCTCAAACAATGAACAGTGGGACTGTCACAAATGCTGTACAATTGATTTTCCTCATGAAATGTTGAATAAAATGTGAATGCATCCATTTATATATGGAACAATACTGGCCAAACACAGTAGACTTTTCTCTCTGAGACCAACACATTGTTAAACTGTCTTGACTTTTGTCACTGAAGCAGGATTACAGTAATGGCAGCACTGTGGCCTCACAGCAAGTGGGTCACAGCTGGTTACGACAGCAACACTGATACTGTTTCCACCTTGTGAGTCTGTGTCACCATGGCAACATGTGGTCCTGGAGGTACCTGCTGTAGCATGTGAGCCCCTACATTACACCCCTGGCACCATTTGGTGTTGCAGCTAGTGTTACCTTCTTTCATTCTTTCTGTGTGGACGTTACTTGTTCTCTGTGTGCGTGTTTGTGTGTGTGTGGGTGTGTGTGGCTTTTCTCCAGGTGCTCCAAGTGAATTAGTTGAATTGGGGAAAGTTGTACATTATGGGTTATGTGATAGGCTGCACCCCCCATGAGATCCCAAAACATATAGCCGCTATCAATGATAGATAGATGGATTGGATATTAACAGTACTTTCAGCACAACGTTGTTTGCTATCTAGTTTATGAACCAAGATAAGCAGCATTTGAAAACGCATATGTTTTGATGGATAAGTTTCAAAACAATGACGCCCACACCCGTGTTCGCTACTTGATTGGTTCTTAGCAGTCATGACGTATCCTTCCCTGATTCGTCATGCCCCTATCACGTGACCGTTTCCCGGAAATCATAAACAACAGCCCTGATTACCGATCGACTACCAGGTTAATTCAACATGGACACCTGATTACAGGTGTTACTGACCTTGTTGTCTTTACTAGCCGCTGTTGTCCAGTTAAAGTCTGCATTATTACGGAGGAAGCAGCTGTTATTGGAGCGATTAGCGAGCAGCGTGTCCAGCGGCGTTATCAGCCCTACGGAGTGGCCGTCTGAAGTCACTGTTAGCGGCTTTAGGGAGGGTGATGGACACAAAACGGAGGACTTTCCTCTTCTTACTAATGCTTATTTTGTTCTGCACAACTATTGTGAAGTCCACAGATAAAATGTAAAGGGACAAAAGCAGTAATTGCTCTCCAGGAGGACAGAGACTTCAGCCACCAGCAGAGCTACGAG